ATGTTCGCCGTGTTGCCTCCAGTTGATCACTGCTAAAACATAAAATCCCCGTTTCCTACTCCAAGGCCATTGTTGTGCCGTCTATTCGAAAAAGCAAAATTTCACATTATGGAATATTCCAGTCCCCATAGTCATTCAGCCATCCGAAGTTTTCAGTGCTGTGCATAAGGTCCCCCGTCCATTGGAAAGCCATACTGCTGCCAAAATCGACCATATCTTGGCTATATTGATTGCCCCCGTTCTGGTAAAACTGGTCGGGGGCTTGGTCGCCAGGTCGGTCATTCAAGGATAACGAGGCCGTCTTCTGCAGGACGGAGTTGGCCCAGTATTCGAGCTTTTCCTGGATCATGAGAATCTTCAGCGCGCTCGTCACCCAGAGATTGCTGTCTTTCGTCTCCTCTGGGACGGCAGCTTGCTGCAACAGGTTTCCGACCTGCTGAACCCTGATCCGCAACGTTGAGAGGATCCGGGTGACATCGATCTCCAATCCCGGCTCCTTGTCCAGACGTTCTTGTAATGACGCCACCGCGTCCGGGATCCTGGGATTCGACCACTCGTCGGCCCTCTTTGGGACGAAAGCGCACGGCTCTTTCTCCACGCTGGATGGCGACTCAGCAATCGTAGACGCCGGCGAGGTTAAGCCGGAAATGCTTTGGCTTCTTTGCGGTTCTACACAAAGAGTGGTCCCCTGCTGGCTATTGTTGGCTCCAACACCCAGAGACGTTGCGCCTAGGCCTTTTTTCAACGCCTTCGAGTTGATAAACTTGGCGTATCTCCCCAACATGCTGATCGCGTAAATCAGTTGTGTGCATGTAGCTAGCGTCTGGCGATAATACGACGACACCGAAACCGAGAGCCAATGCTCGAACCAAGCGAGCAGCGCGTTGCGTGATTGGTAGATGTCTTCCAGCGCTGACGAGGAAGTATCTGTGCTTTGAGGCTCTGCCAAGGACGGGATTTTACTCCCGTCAGGTGGCTCATACAGCCGCAATGTCGCAGTATGTAGGTTTGTCATGAATATTTCTGCGAAGGATGTCAGTATCCCCGGACTGATACTGAAGGGGGTGGTGGCGGACTAACTATTCATCTTGAGTCTCAGCGGCAGTCGCTCTAGCATCTGATTGATTTCGGTCTGGTAAGAGTTTATATATGTTGTCTTGGACATCAGATGCAAGGGAGTGTTGTCCAGTATGGAGTCGGCTCTATCCATTTCTTTGAGTGAATTGATGCGATCCGTCAGGTACTGGATGCGGACAAGATGTACGAGATCGATATCTGTCTCTTCTTCATTGGCGTCCTCTAGATCTCTCAAACACTGCTGGAGGTATTTCGAGAATCGTAAGCTGTCTGTTCTCCCGAATCCTATAGATACACTGTCCATCGTCAGCAAGGACACCCTTCATTTTGAAGCCATGAAGAGCAGGAACATACACTGAGGCGTTGAACCACACACCGGCGAACGCTCGCTTTTCCTCAGCGGTATGCGCTTTTGGCCCATTGGGGTCGAACTGTCCAGGAATGTATATCGGGCGAGTCAAGCCCATGTCACTTATAAGCGACGTTGCCAGGCCCACCAAGTTACTCAACTGCGCATGAATGAAGCAGTGGTACTGATACCAGGAGATGATGACGATTAAGCCTTGTAACAGATCCAACGACCGCTCTGATCGGATAAGAATGTGATCGGAGAGGTGCTTCATCAAATAATATGTCTGAGCGCGCATTGATCTTAAGCTTCGAAACGAAGCTACGGTTTTGATGGCCGCCATCAGGAAAGGCTTTGTCTCCGCCAGGCCAGCAGCATTGATGGTGGGCGGAACGACAACAAAAGGGTTCAGCGGCATCAACTCCCTCCGGTAGAGATCCAGCAGATTGTCATCCGTATCCGGAGGGGGAGGTGCCTCGCCTGTAATAGGGCGGCACAGACATGTTCCCGGCGCGTGGGAGTTGAACAACTCCGGGACGGCCCAAGGACCCTCGCTGGCCTCGAACTTTTCCGGCGTGTCGCTCTTTCCCTCGAGAGCCAGGCGAAGGGTATCACGATCAATTCCGGCTTTGGAAAGGTCTCCAGAGGATTGCAGGATATTGGTCAGGTTGTCTAGCCTTTCCTCGATACGAGCAGTACGACTAGCGATTGGTTAGGATCTGGCGGAGATTCGCTACACACAACGTAGCAGCCGTGCCTGGTGCATATGCATGGCTTGATTAAGCGACTTACGACGGTTTTACTTGTCTCTTTTTGCGGACGCGATGAACCTGTTTGGTACAGTTTTTAAGCAACCTCTCGCATCTAAGTGCCGACCCACGTCAGAAATAGAGTAACATTTTAAGCTTAACGAGGGAAATGGCCAGTCCTGGCAAGTTTACATACCGGTCGCACTTTGACTCTACATCGGGATTCGAGCGGATGCATTTCGCCTTGGCGGTTGCACAGGCAGCACATGCAGCTCCCCATTTGGCCGCGGGGAGCTTGGATCTGAGGCTCCCAGTGCTGGTGTACTCTAGGGTACTCGCTACCGCTGGTTCGGTCATGGGAGGGGACAGTAGATGCAGCTGAGGGACAGGGGAAAAGGGAGGCAATAACACGTGAGTGGCTTTGGACTTGCGGAAGTCCGTCGGATCTTCGCGAGGAGAGAGGATGCTATCTCGTCTGCTAATAAACGGTCAATGGTGGAAGCGGCCAAGGCAACCGGAGTTTTAGATAAACTCCGGTTGGTGATCCAAAACGAGGCAGCAAGGGGAGGAGTCGCTGCTTAACAACCGACTATGCTTAATAAAGCGTCCCAGACGTTACATTGGTCCCCTAAACGCGCCTCTCCCCCCTATGAGCCACGACTAACAGCCTTTTTTACACAACGTTGGACGTGGCATTGAGGCTGTGCCTCCCTGTGTCAAAGGACAATCTTCCTCCATATGCTCACTAAGCTCAGTCCTGAGCTCATCTGACTGAACAAAGCTCTGTCTGATTTGCCCCAATACGAATCTCACTTCTAGCGTGCTAACAATAGCGCCTTTGGATGTCTGTTAACCAACCATGGAACCGAAACGATAAATTCATTGCTATGAAGGAAAGAAAAATAAGAAAATAGGTAGTCTAACAAGCAAGCAAGCTAAGCTGAGGCGTCTCCAGTACATACTTCGCCCAAAACCGACGCCATTGTATCGAAACACTTATAGGTTTACACATGTATGCCATCCCACTACTCTCATCCTGCCCTAAAATTTGGCCCGAAATCATGCCGCTCTCCTGGGTACGACTGCCGGTTTCAGGGATGCCCTGAACTCTCCAGGGCTACCACTCCCGATCCCCCACGACTATACGCTGGTTGTCTGTGGATTTATTTAGACTTTGAGACGCCGGCGCCAAGAACGCCGGGTAGCTTCTCTTCGCCCACGCTGAACAGGATGCCAATAGCGAAAGTGAGGATGCCGACCATGAGCAAAGTGAAGCCAGCAAAGAGCCAGAATGGCACGCTCACATCTTGCTTTGAACAGGTTGGGCCAGCCATCTGCGTAACACCGCCCGACTTCTCGCGGCGCTTCGAACAGTGGCAAGCGTAGCAGACTCTGCCCTTGCCATCTGAACCAGACTGCTCATCTGAGCCATCGGGCTCAGCCCAGCGATTGAGGCACTCGCCGTAGCCAGAGCATTTGTTGGTGCCTGAGAGACAGGCTTCCTTGGAGGTGAAGCAGGTTGGTACCTTGGATGGCGAGGAGAAGATGGTCATCTTGGCATCCGACTCTCCAACGGAGGATGGGAGATCGACTTCGACGTCGACCTCGAACACTGAGACGACTTCCTCAGCAGCCTGGCGGCGGCGCAATTCTTGGAACTTCTCAGACCATTGGTTGACGTTTGAGTTGGCAGTCGACGCGTGGAAGAGGACGATGGTGGTTTCCATCTCGCCGCTCGTGGCAAGGCGTGCGAAATGGGAGGCTAGACGCGAAAGGTCTCCAACAACGGAAGGGTCCTACTTGAGTTAGCCATAGTTCTTCAACAGCTCTGTAACCATTTCCATACCTTTTGGACGTTGTATTTTGCCACGGCAGACTTGCCGCTCCAGCAGTTTTTATCAAATGGGTTGCTGAGCTTCTTGATCGAGCACTTGTGATCATTCGTAACACCAACATTGTACACGTCGTTGCTGATGAGCTTTTCGTTTGCTTGCGCGGAAGGAGGGTCGGGGATTGTGAATGAGGGGCCCGACTTGAATGAGCGGCCGAGAGTCTTGATCTGGTCATCATTCAAACCCTCGAGCATGACGACAAGCTGACTAGGAGCCAGAGTCTCGCCCTGCCCAAACAGCGACACGGGCTCTTTCCCAAACTTGCTGATTAAAGAAACAACGTTCTCGGCGTCGGACCCATTGGGGATTTCGGCAGTCGATGGCCCCTTTCCGGCGGGCGCCAGTCGCTGTAGGAGGATGAGGCGTGCGAGGCTTCGCGAGACGGAGGGAACTGTGGAGGACTGGGAGGCGCCAGGGAGGATGTAGACCTCGGCGGCCTGTTGCGCTGCTGCTGCGCAGCCAGCCAGGACTGCAACAAGCCCGAGAGTGAGCTTCATGATGGTCGGCTGAGGACGGTGAAGCTGCGCTGGATGAATTTGGTCGTCGTCGTCGACAATGTGGATGGCTTTCGCAACGTCACAGCTAGAGGCCAGGCGCCACGGTCTCTGGAAGTGCAACCTGGCGACCACTAAGCACGGAGCTAGCGGCTGCGAGATGATCCGGCTGCAGCACAGTGCTAGTTGGAACAGGCATCCGCGCCACCAAATATAGAAACACTGCAGCCCTACAGTGCGAAATGCGGCCTGGCACGACTATCTATCTTCACTGTAGCGCCTGCGCTGGTCGTCAATCCATTAGATTCCATGCTCTGTGCCTTGCGCTGGCTACATCCCGCCGCCATGCATGCCCGATCCTTAAAGCGCCCACGACAGACATAAACGTTTAGAGAGCGTTCCTTTCACGACGACTTTCATGCTGCAGACTTCGCGGATCATGCTCTCGCGAGCGGCCACCCCGCGGCGTGCGGCTCTCACAATCCTTGCAGCCCAGCGACTATCGGTCCGGCAGGTCCCCTCATCGGCAAGACAACTTTCGCTTCTGCCATGGCGAAAGAAGAAGGACCCGTCGCTGCCTGTATACTTCCCGAAGCCGGCCAGCACGGTGCGACGATCGCCATGGAAGAAACTTCGATATGCCGTCATCACTGCTGCCGTCTACTACTTCCTCTTCCAAGTCTACATGAGCGTGGTCCTTGATCCGCTGTTCGACTGGGCCGAAACGGAATGGGAAAACCTGTCTGAGAAGGAGAAGATGGAGATGGAGCAAGAGGAGGACGAGGAGGACCCGGAGCCGTTGCTGTTCCTACCCTTTCCCTTCACGACCAAAAAGGTCAAACAGCCGCCATACAGAGGATCCGACCCGGAGTGGGTAGGATTCCTGAAGATTAGCAAGGATCCAGCGATGCAAAAAACGATTAAAGGTATTTCACCTCGGTAAACATCCTATAACGAAAGATTCTGACTCGGATCCCTTGTGTAGGACAACTGGCGGACATAGTTCGCCAAGCTCTTGAACGGCACCCGTCCATCATCACCACGATGGGTGGGAAAAACATCCGCATTAAGAGGTCATGGCTTGATATTCTGTATCCTCCGGCTCCCCCGCCAAAGCACTACGTTTCAGGGTTTGTATTATGAAAAAATTTGGCTCGAATTCTCTTGACTAACAAGTTCACAGGTTGATAGTAGATTGGGACGGCCTGTTTTGGGGGGATCGTCCAATCGATACCTCTGCCGCACTGCAACTTGATGCCATCATGTACCCCAAAGCTGTCGCAATGTCGGCTTGGTCATTTTGGAACGTCTTGTTCCAGCGTACCAAGATGGATATCTCCAAAGCGCTGGGCCTCGAGACTGAGCCTCCAGCGCCGACCTGGCAGTCTGTGATGCTGGAGAGAAGCAGAGAGGCAGAGAAAAGCAAGGGCAACCCCTCCTTTCCTGGCCCTGACTCTCGCCCAACTCATGTCACCCCCCCTTCACAGCCACCCCCCAACGGGAAGGCGGCTCAAGACAACTCGTCCCAGTTCCCCGTCGACTTCGCAGGTCTTTTCCGGAAGCCCGAAGGCGAGGTACGGCTCTCTCCAAGTCTCCAGCACGCGCTACACGCTGCGTCTCTCACGCTGGCCAAACACCGGAAGCCCATACAGCCACAACCTACCCGTGGCTGTGTCCGAGTCGACGGCCTAGTTGAGCTGTTGGGCCCCTCGGCCGTGATGACGGTCGCCGTCGTCGGGTGGTTCGATCCGCAACAGAAAAGGTTCGTCTCCACCAGTACGGAGGTGAAGCACGTCGTCAGGCTTAAGCAGCGGCCGCTTGGAGGCCCCTGAAGTGACTACGTCCCCCCTTCTTTGATTTCTTTGTATAAATTTTCTTGAACACTGTACAAGGCGCGAATGTATCATCATTAATAGCATGTGTTAGCCTGGCGCTGGGAAATGGGATCTGGTTTCTTTCATGTGGAAGGATAAAAGAGGCCATAGAACGAAGCATAATGGATTGCATCGCTTTTCTCCCTTTAGCCGGGAAAGGATTTAAACGGGATGTCAGATGAGATTATTCTCCAATTGATCATTTATGAGAGTGGCTATAAGTGATAATATTCGGCACTCCTAAAAACAAAGACAATGGCACCATTTCCTGGAGCCAAAGACCAGAAGTAGACGATTACAACATGAAAAGAGACAAGGCTTGCTATTCATTCCTAGTAATACACAGTTGTGGGTGAAGCAAGCCACCATTCGAAGACAAAAAGACAAAATAAGACAAAACAAACATGTTCAAAGCAGACCGTGCTCGTGGCGGAACTTGAGAATCGCCTCACGCAAAGGCTGGATGAACTGCTCCCAGGGCCCGTACAGCCTCGCGTCGAGCATGGCCTCGTCGCTGTCCACCCTTCCCTTCGCCTCCTCGACCCTGCCGCTCTCGACCAGGTGCCGGATGCCCGTATACCGGCGCGTCCCGTGGTGGACGTAGTCCTCGACGTTGGCGAACACGCCCGCCCAGTCGTGCTCGCCGCACGTGGCGGCCGCGAGGACGAAGTGGCGCGTCGAGGACATCATGTCGCGGAAGACGCCCACCTCCGGGTTGAACTCCCCCTCGGCCATGAGGCGGATGAGGGCGCCCAGGGGCGCCGCCTCGTCCTGCACGCTCCTGATCATGGAGGCCCACCAGGACCGGAGGCTGGCGGGCGTCTGGTAGTGGTGGTAGGCCTCGCAGTTGCCGAGGGTGGCGGCCCGGTTGGTGAGGAAGCGGTGCTCGTTGGCGACGCTGGGGGGGATGAAGTCGGCGTACTCGATGAAGTAGCGCTCGACGAGGATGCTCCCCAACAGCTCGGCGGTGACGTGGTCTGGGGTCTGGGGCACGTTCATGAATCTGGAGACTGTGTTGATCATGGCCTGCGTCCCCAACTGTTGGGAATCGTTGGGTAGGAGTGATGTACCTCCGATGGAACCTGGCGGGTGGCCAAGCTGGGCGAAGGCGGTTTCGAAAATAGCGTCCATTGTTTTTTGAATCCCAGGTGTTTCAGAAAGATGAGGAATTAGAATTTATTTATCTCCTGGACGGATACAGGAGCTGTATTAAGGTTTTGTGAAGACCTGAAGAATTGTTGAGTCTGGGGGGAGAAGACAGACCAACAGAGGAGGGAGATCTGGTCGGAATAAATAGATCAGAAGTCCCAGGCCATGTCTCTTCAGGAAGATCTCTCCTTCTGCGACACGCTCTGGAGTCGGAGATAGGAGCAGTAACAAAAGTCTATTAGTTAATGTACTGAAAACACACCCTCCTTTGCGCAACACATGTCTCTAATGTTTAACACATAGCGCGTTCGCTTGAAACAAGCTTATCAAAAAGGTTACCGGAAGCTAACAAGGTTATGCTTCAACCCACATCTAGCGGGATTGTCATGAGGTATTTTGGTTCAGAACTGAACCCTTCCACAACACATCAGCTTGTTACTGATTTGCTGATTGGTTTGGGGAGAAGGGACACTGCTGTGCCTCTCCCCAAACGACTCTTGGCTGATGAATTATGCTTATAAATTGATCCGCGCGTGCATCAGATCTTCAAGACATCTCCTCGATGGAGAGACGAACACGCGGATTGATAACCGTGATGGGGGTCGACAAGGTTATGTGGGTTCTCGATCATTCCTCAATAACTTCCGCGGCAAGGTTATCAGCACCGGCAGGGACTTTATCCACTGGCGGGCTGCTTGGCAAGTCATCAGAGAACGCCACTGTCTTGGAGGAGCCCGACCTATTGGCTGGCTCGAGAACATCGCCATTCCACGGCTTACACTCCTTGACGTGTTCCCCACAGCGAAGGCACGTCCAGCCCTCTCCCTCCTCGCGTTCAAGGCGAGTGGCGATGCAGACGAAACAGTAGATGCATCCACAAGGGATGGTCTCGTACGGGTTGGTGATGTCAGTCTGCGTAGAACCGATCACACCACTGGATGCTGCCGCGGCCATGACCTCGTTCTCCGTCGTCGCGGCTTCGTTCTGATCCTGGTAGCAGATGGCGCATGTCCGTTCGGGGAGGAACGCATACTCTCCATTCTTCGAGTTCCCTTCCTCGGGGCCGATCTGGATGATTTCCTTGGTTTTACGCCAGGTGCGGCTCAACCACCGTCTCCATCGATTAATGCCAATCAAAGGTAAGACAAAGAGGAGAAATTCAGTAAAGGCGTGCCACACCAGCTGCCGGTTGAGATACTCGAATGAGACCTCTCGACTCACTTGACTGGTGGGTGGTGCGAGTCGCATCCTTAGTAGTCTATCCAGCAACGTCCGATACCTCCCGTTGAGGAGAAATACCAGGAATGAGACGCAGGCTGCCGCGCTGTGGGCGGTGGAGAGGGTAGATGTGAACCTGGACAGACGCTCCAGCCGAGGATTGGGCTCTGCGTAGCCATCGTCCCTTTCCACGAGCCAGTCCTCCCACTTTGTCCAGGCGTAGCTACCAAACACGGTGACGGCCCCAAAGAGGGACTTTTGCCATCGAGATGGTGGCACGAGCACGGCCCCGTCCTTCCTGGCGTCGGTGTATTTCAGATTCTGTAGCGCAGCGCCGTAGGTTGCATCATGGTCCCAGACAGTCAGCTTGAACAGGATGGCGCGGAGGGCCAGGGAGATCTCGGCAGACCAATCATCGCTGAGGTGGCCATCAGAAAAGTACTTGAGCGCCTCGCCGGCTTGGCCCTTGAGGAGATCCAGCAGCTCCTGATCCAGGAGCTCCGCGTCGACCTGGCCAACGCGGAAGGCAGGCCGCGTACCTTGGCGAGCGGAGATGGTATCCCACACTGACGAAAGGCCACTGAACGGGTATGGTAAGCGTTGCAGCTGCGCACTCGCACGAGAGGCCTCGCGTTGTGCAGCGATTCGAGCGGCTTCTTGGGACTCGCGGGCTTGGCGACGGGCAGCCACACGCTGTTGCGCCAGGGCAAAGCTCGAGTCAGCCATTGCGTCGGGGTGCAGGGTCGGGCCGGCGGGACAATCTTGATGTGTTCGAGGGTCGGAGGAGGGCTATCGCGCCATGGCTGGATCGTCGTGTTGGTGTCGAGAGAAGCGAGGTCGTGGGTGAAGCTAGGTAGGTTGGTGTGGAGGAGTTTTGATGTCCGCAATAAACTTAGGCCTGGGGCAGTGGCCGGGGCCGAAGCCTCGGCACTAATCAAACACCCGGCGATCGGCTGCCAGGAGAAGGTAATTGCCAGAACAGTCGAGCGCACATGCGTGTGGAGTATTAGCGCAAACATGGTTCTGATTGACCCGACAGTGACGGGGTTTGTTGATGATGTGACATGAGCCGAGACTCTGCCTTGTACATGGTGGTTCCGCCATGAAAGAAACAGGAAGCTTAATTACCCATCAGACAATACCGTTTATTCCGAGTTATCAGTAACTCGTTATTGATCTCAGTGCATCTGGTGGCTAATTTATTTAGGGAGATATTAGGTACATAACCAACAGCTGTTCAACAGAGTAAATAGTAATTCATCTGGTCGATTCAACAAGTGAAGACACATAAAAAGGCACGTCACTCATCGTAAGAAATGTTACACTTTTATCATCAATATCGGGTAGAGATTCTACTTAGCTTAGTAGTGCTCGCGTGCAAGCCGCTGTCACCACATGACCTTCACCCAAGTATTGCTCTCCGCCTCTGATTGACAATCGTCGCTACTGGGTGGTCGTGTATGCAAGGCGAGACAGCATGCCTACCTAAGTATGTTGCTATTGTAATCTTTGACGCAGCCAATAATGGATACATGGTCTGGATAATCATAATCATATCTACTCGGTTTTCTCTCGACTTCAACTCCAGGATGCACAGGCATGGGCATGTTCTCTGTGCCTCTCAGAGTGAGCTAGACGGGTCCTTGGCAGGCTCAGATAAGCTCCTGCCGGCACATGACTGCCTTACCCAACTGCGCTTCTACAATATTATTACATAGGTATTCATTAACCGTTGGATGCACCGTCATCCGGCAGCCAGCACGTCCCTGCTTCGCATGCCAACACAGAGCCGGCGGTGACTCAACGACATCAACTCGCCGTGAACTTGTTCTCGACTGCTGCACCCCGGAATTGCTCCAGTAAATGCGCTAACGGCAAGATCAAACCAGCTAATCAGTGACTGCATCTCATTTCATGGATCACTCAGGCAACTTTACAGGGGATCATCGGCAGCCAATAACAACCCCCATGTTTCGCCACATCCACTCGGTGCACTATTTACAACCAATGTACATCACTCGCTCTCGCCAACGACCAGCTCTGTCCTACCAAACACCGGACCTCATCGCAGCATCTCGCCTGTCTTCGTTTCTGCCTAGCGAGACAGAGCGCACTTCTGCGCCAGTCCCAAGACCGATATCTGCACTGCGTCGCTATATATAAACACCACGCGCCCGCCTTCGCTCTCACAACCCTGCACCTTCACTCACACCAGCGATAGCCATCTCCGGTGTCTGCCTGGACCTTCATCCACCTATCTGGTGAAAAGGGTGCGCCATGAGCTCGCGCAGCTCGCGCAGGCGTGAGCTTCCCATCGAGGATTCATGGCGCATGGTAGAAGGCGAGCATGATAGCTTCGACACCACTCTCCTTCCTGGTGTTTCCGATCTAGATGATGATATCATCCCCAGCGAGCAACCATCATCCAGCTTCCCCTCTCAGCCATCGCAGCCATCGTCACTCTCTCAAGGCAACACAAGTCTAGGCTCGCATTCCCAGGACAGTATCCGTGACTTCTCCAGGCACCAGGACGACGACCAGGTCATCTTGCGCGAGCCCTTCCGCCCCAGTCTTCCGGATTCTGCTCGAAC